GGGTCACTCCTCGAGCTCGGTGGTGGACGTCACGCTGGTGTCCCCGTCGCTGCACCCGCACGTGACCGGCTGGTCGGTTCTCCCGTACAGGGAAAACCTCAGCGACCACCGGTACATCGTGTACGAGTGCGGTGATGGCGGCCGTCCCCCTCGAGCCGTGCCCCGCATGCCGTCACGCGGCGGGCGAGTGGGCTGGCGAGTCGGACCTACCACGGACGTCGACGCTTTTGAGACGGGCTTACTGCTCGCTCAATGGTCGGCGCCCGCGGTACCGGACCGGCGCGTCTCCGCGAGCGAAGCGGCGGAAGAGTTGGACCGGAGGGTGGTCGCAGCCTGCGACTTCGCCCTCCCGGCCAAACGACCGCCGACGACTCGCGGACCGCCAGTCCACTGGTGGTCCGAGGAGGTGGCGGCCAGGCGTGAGGAGTGCGTCAGGGTCAGGAGGGCCATGACGCGCTCCAACCGACGGCCGCGAGACCCGGAGTCCCCGGACCCGAGGGAGGCGCTGAGATCGGCCCGCAAAGAGCTGAAGCTCGCCATCAGGCGGGCCAAAGCGAAGTGCTGGGCCGAACTCGTGAAGTCGGTGGACCACGACCCGTGGGGGAAACCCTATCGGGTCGTCATGCGGTCAGCTGGAGGCGGAGGTGCTGGAAAGGGCGGTCGACACGCTCTTTCCGACACATCCGCCCCTGCCTCCCTCGGCGTTCGGGGACGACGAGTCGATGGAGGAATTCACCGCCCAAGAGGTGGCTGACGCAGTGGCGCGGGTGCGGGGCCGGAACACAGCTCCCGGCCCCGACGCGATTCCAAACCGGGTGTGGGGGTTGGTCCACGACCTCGCCCCGGAGTGGATAAGCGCCGTCGCTAACCGCTGCCTCGCGGAGGGTGAATTCCCCACGAGGTGGAAGAAGGCTGGTGCTCCTGAGGAAGGGTGACAAGCCCGAGGGTCTCCCCTCGTCGTACCGACCGCTATGCATGTTACATATGAAGTGGACTGAGAAAAATTAAAAATATATAAATATAAAAAATATTTCTACTGTACGGTTGTACTCACCAGTATCCATGTAAACCAATT